TCCTCCTGCTTCAGCCTCCCAAGTGTTAGTATTACAGGCATGTGCCACCACGCCCAGCTGGGATGATTGTTTAAATGAAGCTGCACCTTTTTAGCAAACAGTGAGCGCAAAGACGTCCACGTGTGCGCTCCCATGTGCTGAGCTGGGATTCTGCCAGCCCTTATCAGGAATGGATGAGACTCAGGCACAGAATGGTGGTTTTCTGGAACAGTTATCTCCAGGAAGGAAACAGTTTGTTCTTTTAAGCGGCTGTACACTTCTTGCTAATATCTTGTTTACACCATGATTGCTCAGGTTCTGCAGACAGACAGAGCACACAAGATACGTGTGTATGTGTACACGTGTGTGTATGTAGGGAGGTGGGGGCGGGGAGAGCAGATGGAAGTTTGTTTTAGGGAACTGACTCCGGTGAGGGAGGGCGCCAGAAGTTTGAACTTGACAGGGCGGGGCAGGGCAGTGACCTGCAAAATTCAGGGGGGGTTTCTAGGTTACAGCCCCCAGGAGAATTCTTTTCCTGTAGAAAACCGTGTTCTGCTCTTAGGGCCTTCTTCACCTGATTGGGTGAGGTCCACCCCGGTACAGGGATGATCTGCTCTGCTCCTGATGCTAATTGTACCTAAAAAGTACTTTTTTTTTTTTTTTTTGGTCTTTTTGAGAAGGGTCTAGCTGTGCAGTTCAGGCTGGCCTTGAGCTCATTTTGTAGCCAGGCTGGTCGTGAACTCCCGGTGATCCTCCTGCCTCAGCCTCCCAAGTGCTGGGATTACAAGCCTGCGCCACCATGCCTGGCTTAAATCACAGCACATTTAGACTGGAGCTTGACCAGACCAACCCAGCACACACACGCGCACGTTCCTCCGTGGGAGCGCTCCTGCCCACGCGGGCGGAGTGGGGCTTGCTCTTCCCTTGCTTTCCCTCTGGCTGAAATCTGAGGGCCCGGCCCGGCGCGCAGGGAAAGCAAGCGTCTCCCTCCCTCCTCTCAGAGGTGCTGCTGCGCATGCACTCCGTGGGGATCTGCGGCTCCGACGTCCACTACTGGCAGCACGGCCGGATCGGGGACTTCGTCGTGAAGAAGCCGATGGTGCTGGGGCACGAAGCTGCGGGGACGGTGGTGAAAGTGGGGTCCTCGGTGAAGCACCTGAAAGCAGGTCAGCAGCGCTCGGGGGCCCGCCGAGAGTGTGCGCGTGCGCGGGGAGGCCGCCCGGATTCCCTGACTTGGGGACGCAGGGGCAGGCAGCTGCGCGGCTACCGTGTGTCAAGCCCAGCGCAGCAGGATGCCCGGACCTCCGGCTCCCTGAGAGAGGGACAACCCCCGATGCCTGAGGGCAGTGAAGGGACGGGGGACAGGCCCGGGGACCATGTCCCTTGTCGCGAAGCAAACTTGGATGCAGTCTTTAATTTTTTTTTTTTTTTTTTTTGGTCTTTTTGAGGCAGGGCCTCGCTATGCTGTTCAGGCCGGCCTTGAGGTCACTTTGTAGCTCAGGCTGGTCTCGAACTCGCAACGATCCTCCTGCCTCAGTGTCCTGAGTGCTGAGATTACGGGTGTGCCCCACCATGCCCGGCTCAGCCTTTGAGTTTTGTACATGGCAGACCAAGTACTGTCCTCGGTGTGCTGACTTCATTCTCCCCGAGGGAGGAATCAACCCCGGTGGCCCATGGTGCTGTCCCCGCCACAGTGCGTTAAATCCAGCCTCTAGCTTTGCTCAGACTGAGGGAGGTGTGGGCTGGCAGGAGGGCGCTGCCTTGTGTTAGTTCTAAGGCTGCCTGAGCCCGGCCACATGGAGGGGGTTGAAAGCTCGAGGTCCTGAGTTCGATTCCCGGTGCCAAACACAAAAAAATCCCACTAAGTGTAAGTTCTAATGCTGTAGAAATCAGGACCAGATCAAACGGAAGACAGCACCACCGGAGGAACTTTGGAGGGCGGCTTTATTAGGCCAGAGGGCTGGGAGACCCCAGAGGTTCAAATCACCTGTACAGTCCCAGCTCACAGAACATTCTAAGATTGGTTCCACACGTCTTCGTCACTAATTGCTAGGCAGGATTTACTCTTACAGGAACGAATGAGGTTGCTATCGTATAACTGGGGAAGAATCAGCCATTGTCTGGGACTGGGTAGAGGTGTCCTGGGGGCGACACCTCGCCGGGACTTGAAAGTAAGCAAAGCACCGCTGTCCGGCTCCGCTGCGCTCTTCTCACACCGGCCCTGGGGAGGACGAGGACCAGCCGGGCTTCCCAGTCTCATTCACGGACAGAGTTGGAAATGTGGGCCTAGCCGGGCGAGGTGGCACACGCCTGGAATCCCAGCACTCGGGTGTGATCTAAACCAGGGCTGTGTGTTAGATATTTTTAAATGCACTTCAGTAGAAGACACATTGCCGTGAGGATTCTCCTCAGAACCTTGTTCCTCTCTTCAGTCACACTCATCCTACCATTCTCGCCCCTTTCTGAAGCAGCTCTGGTGTCCTCTTTCCGGAGTGTCTCTAGCTGCGCTGTGCTGGCAGCCTCGATGCCCTGAATTGATTCAAAACGCTTCCCTTCCACGGTCATTTTGGGTTAGGGGCGAGCCAGAGGTCGCACGGTGCCCGACCCGGTGAACGCGCGATGCGTGTGTGAGCTGCCTTGCTGTGGGACGGCACTCAGCAGCAGCAGTCACCGCACTTTTGATCACACCTCATAAAGCACTGCGGACTTTGAGAGGTGCTTCAGAGCGTGGTGAGGGCGGGCTGCAGGGGCTCAAGCGAGGGTATTGTCGGGATGCGTGGCTGCGTGTTCTGTGTAGTGTGACAAACGTTTAAATTTTAAGCATCCACCATATATTTTGATCCCACCCTGTGGGCTGGCCTGCAGCTAGCTAGTGCTGAGGGAGTAAACTCCAGTGGTGACTCCAGTGTGTCCCAGCACCGGGGCAGCGAACGCTCCTGCAAGGCCCGATTCCATTTCTGACCCCCGTGGAGCCGAGCCTCCCACAGCGAGCAGCTTCCGGGGCTGGACCTGTGCAGACCCAGGGGCCGGGGGGAGGAGGGCGGCTCCTGCTGCCCACTCTTCGCCACGTGGCCCTCGCCAGCACCTCTGACTGACCGTGCTCCAGGGGAAACGTTAGCCATGACCTCCCTGTCCCGCGGCTTCCTTTCCTCCAGTTTACAACTTTTATGTTTAGCAATAAAAATGTGTCTAGCACAGTGTTTATTACGGGGAGATAAATATGGAGCAGACAGCTCACCTCACAGGGTTATCATCCCAGAGGAGGAGGTGAGACGCTCATAAAAAGAGCAGAGTGTGGTGGTACACGCCTGTAATCATAGCACTCGGGAGGCTGAGGCAGGAGGATGGCTGGGAGTTAGAGGCCAGCCTGGGCTATATATTGAGACCCTGCCTCAAGAAAACAAATGAACAAAAAACCCACCTAAAAGGCTGGAAACCACTTGCTGACTAACAGGATGAGGGTTAAGCTGTCTGTGGTGAACTCATGCTAATTAAAGGAATGCCCAGGAGCACAGCCTGAGTGACCCCATTTCTGTGCTGCTCTGGAGCAGGCAGTACTAATCGATGGTGGATAAGATCAATATATTGCTTGCCCTGGGAGTTGGGTGGAGATTGACTGGGAAGGGACATAGAGTCAGTGTGCTGTCTCTCCTCTCCCTTCCCCTCCCCTTCCTTCTCCTCTCCTCTCTTCTCTTCTCTTCTCCTCTTCTCCCGCTTCAACCGCTCCTTCTTCTCCCTTCCCTTTCTTTCTTTCTTTTTTTCTTTCTTTCCTTCCTTCCTTCCTTCCTTCCTTCCTTCCTTCCTTCCTTCACGCAGGATCTCACTATGTAGTCCAGGCTGGCCTTGGACTATGTAGCCTACACTGGCCTCGAACTCACTGTGATCCTCCTGCCTCAGCCTCTTGAATGCTGGAATTACAGGTGTGCATCACCACACCTGCCTAAGGAGTGAGATTTCTGAGGCAGTGGTAGTGTTCTCTGCCTTAATGGGAATTTTTATTACACAAGTGAATTTATTTATAAGCATTAATTTAATGACCTGTTTAATTTAGTACATTCCATTATATCTACATTTTAATTTTAAAAAGAACGAGTGTGTGTTGGACTGTAATAAATGGATATGCAGGCTGAGGTGAGGTTTTGTTTTATTTATTTTTGAGATAGATAAGAGTCTCACTACATCCAGGCTGACTTTGAACTTGCCATGTAGTCCAGGCTGGCCTTAAACTCAATTCTCCTGCCTCAGCCTCCCAATGCTGTGGGCTGGTTTCTAAAGGTAGAATGTGCCTCGGTCTGCGTCCTACCAGAAAATAAGAGAGACTGCTGGCGGAGGAGGGGTGGGGACGGAAAGGGGTGGCCGGTGGACATGAGATACAGTGCGAGGGGCTTGGTGTTCCTGAGAATCTAGGTGTTCACTGTACAATTCTTTGGGCTTTGGTGTGTGTCTGAAATTCTTCATAATAAAAAGTTAGTAAAGAAATTAAGGAGCAATTCCGGGGCCGGGTTTCCAAGCAGGGCAGAGTGCGCCCCAGTGTGAGAGCCGCTCAGAGGCGTCGGTATCTGTCTCTCTCACTGCACCAGAGCCTGACCCTGGCCAGGACCTTGGCCCGGGTACTTCTGCTAACCAGGAATCACTTGACTCCTCGTTTACTGTCTAAATGCAAACAGACTGAACCAAAAATAGGTCATGTTACAGCTCTTATCTTTGTAATGATCTTGCCCTATATTTTCTTCTTCTTTTTTTTTTTTTTTTTTTTTTGTTTTTTTGAGACAGCGTCTTAGTATGTAGTTCAGGTTGGCCTGGACCTCACTATGATGTAGCCCAGGTTTGCCTCAAATTCCTGGTGGTCCTCCTGCCTCAGCTTCCTGATTTCCGGGATGGTAGGCATGCGCCACCACACCTAGCTCTCCTCGCCCCACGGTTTTAAAGTAGGTGAAGAAAAAAAAAAAAAAAAAAACCCACCCCCTGCACCAGCTGCCTCTTTGGCAGCAGCTTGAGATGGAGCCAGACTCAGGCGGCCTGAGATTGGGCCGCATCTGCAATGCCCAAGCTGGGCGGTGGTGGGAGCCGGAGGGCAAGTGGCTGGCACAGGGCAGGGCACTTGGGCTGTCGGGGGCAGCAGCTGTGCCTGCATCCCTCGTCCCCTCCGAAGTGTGAAAGGCCCCTGGGTGGGGCTGAGGCCGGGTTCGCCCTCTGCCTCCGCGACATCTCCCTCTCTGCTGCTGCTGTCCCAGGCTGGAAACAGAAGCAGGCCGAGGAGGGCCAGGCTCTGCCCCGTCCTTGGACTCAGCACCCCTATGTTTCCCTCCAGGTGACCGCGTCGCCATCGAGCCTGGGGCCCCCCGAGAGACCGATGAATTCTGCAAGGTGGGCCGGTACAACCTGTCCCCAACCATCTTCTTCTGCGCCACACCCCCGGACGACGGGAACCTCTGTCGCTTCTACAAGCACAACGCCAGCTTCTGCTACAAGTGAGTGCCGCCCTTCCCTCGGCTGTGCTGGGATCTTCCTTCTGCTTTCCTGTGGGGATTTCTTTATTCTTTCAGCTCTTTATTCTTTTGATCTTGTTGTTGAGACAGGGCCTCACTATGTAGGTAAGGCTGGCCTTGAACTCCCGGCAATCCTCCTGCCTCAGCCTCCCAAGTGCTGGGATTTCAGGTGTGCGCCACCACTTCCAGCATTTTTGATGTTCTTGTTCCTAGGAGAGGTGGTGGGAAGGTGTGGGGCCGGTGCTCAGAGCACCCCAGGCCCTGTGGAAGGCCCAGCGGAGCCGGGCAGTGTTGGATAGAACAAAGAGCAAAGGCAAGCGAAGCTGAGCGCCCCGCCACCCTCCCCCGACCCCGGCCAGGTTTGGCCCAGGCTGTGGGCCGCCGACCTCCCCGGCCGCTGTGGAGGAGGAGGAGACGCCACCTCTCAGCGGGTGTGACCCAAGAGAGAGGCCGCCCTTAGGCGGCCGCGACTCGGAGCAGAGCGCTTGCCCCGCTGGTGCACAGTCCGGGGTTCGAGCCCCGGCACCCAGAAAACCACAGAGAAAGCGCGGCGCGGGCCCCCGCCTAGGGGCTGCCGGGCGCGGCTCTGCGGGCGGCCACGCTTTACCCGCCTGACGCGTGTGCGCCACCCGCAGGCTCCCCGACGGCGTCACCTTCGAGGAAGGGGCCCTGATCGAGCCTCTGTCCGTGGGGATCCACGCCTGCCGGCGCGGCGGAGTCTCCCTGGGAAACAAGGTCTTCGTGTGCGGCGCGGGTGAGAGGCGCGCCGCCCGGCTGTGGGTCAGCGGCCCCGCCGAGGGTGGCGCTGCTCTGGGACCTCCCCGGGTAGGGGAGGCGCGTGGGACCCCGCTCTGTGCTGCTGGAGCGAAGCCTCTGGTTTCCTGGGGAGCAGAAGCTTCTGTTCAGGTACCCTGAAGCTTGCGGTCACGTTTTCACCTTGGCAGAAACTAGGGAAACAGCCTGGGTAGCACAGCGGGGGTGACACCCGGAAAGCCCCACGCACAACCAAGAAGTGTGGCCTGGCCCGGCCCACGCATGGGGCCCCTGCGCTGCTCCCCAGCCCTGGGGAGGAGCCGGCGCCTCACACAGACAGTCTGGGCTTTTACAGCAGCTGCGCTCCCTGGGCATCTGCTGTGCCTGAGACGCATGGACCCGGCAAACCCCCGTCACCACAGTGTGACCCACGTGCAGATACGGGGCGGGGGCAGGTGGCCCTGGGCAAGGGGGTTCCCTTTGTCAGGCCAAAGTCGGTGACCGCAGGGCCTCCTCACAGGGACCCGGTGGCAGAGCTTGCTTCTGTGGGCAGCAGACGGCAGAACTTGGGGACAGACTGTCTTAAAAGTCTGCACATACCGTGCCTTTTTGTCCTAGAAATGCACGTGTCACACAGATCATGCTCACATGCACACACACCGGAACTCACTCAGGGCCTCGTTACCCCTCCGCCTGAGAGAGCCGCTGTTAATATTTTGCTATAGAAGAAAAAAACTTTTTTTAATGTTTACACATGTGAGCCTGATTTATTTCACCAATGGGTACCGTCTCAAGTTACATCCGTTTGCCTATAAAAGTCTCAACTCTCATATCCTTCTTTATGGCTGAGTAGTACTCCATCATATAAAAAGACCACATCTTTTTTATCTATTCCTCGGTTGATGGACATTTGGGTTGTTTCCAAGATTTAGCTATGACAAATTGTGCTGCTATAAACATGGGTGCACATATTGTCACTGAGAAAAATGTTTTAACGGAGACTAAATATGGTTTATCTTACCTACTCTTTTTAATTTTTTTTACTTTAAAGGAAAAGCAATATTCTGTGAATATTTTGGTAACAGATACAGCCAAAGAATAACCTTCAGTAGCTGGGCAGTATCCCATTATAATATATGTAACTAATCACCCTTTGTTGGACAGTTCAGGTATGATTTCCCAGTTTTTTGCTTACAAAGTTTTTTTGTTGTTGTTGTTTTTGGTCTTTTTGAGACAGGGTTTCACTATACAGTTCAGGTTAGCTTCAAATTCACTTTGTAGCCCAGGCTGACCTCAGACTCACAGAGATCCTCCTGCATCAGCCTCCTGAGTGCTGGGATTACAGGCATGTGCCACCACACCCGGCTAACAAAGTTGTTTTTAAAGAGTGTGTACAAAGAGCAAAACTAAAAGACCTTCCTTTTTTCTTTTCTTGCAGTGCTGGGGACTGAACCCAGGGCTTTCCTTGGGTATGTCAGACAGGCTGTTCGCTCCTAGCTATATCCCAGCCCTTTTAAACTTTTTACTTTGAGATAGGGTCTTTCTAAATTACCAAGGCTGCCCTCAGACATGTGATCCTCCTGCCTCAGCCTCCTGGGTAGCTGAAAGGTATTCTTCATTGCCCCATTCGGTGGACCTGGGTTTTCTGTTAAAGCGTGCAGGTATGGTGGCCTGCACAAGGGAGCCTGCTGAGGTTGTGCACTGCAGACACCTTCTGTCTTGTGTTTGTTCAGGGCCAGTCGGGCTGGTCACCTTGATCGTGGCCAAAGCAATGGGCGCAGCGATGGTGGTGGTGAGTGGTAAGAAGACTTCTTGTTGCGTCCTCTTGAGGGGAGCGGGGGTGCGAGAGCCGTTCCGGCCTGTAGACCCATTCCCTGCGTGTGTTTGTCACAAACCCCGGAGGTGGGTGCTTTTAAACAAACAGATTCGCCCCGGTGGCCATGCCCGAGGCGAAGGTCAAGACTGGGCGTCCCCGTTGGCTCAGGCTGAGGTGTGGGCTGTGTCCAGTGGCAGGGGCAGGGTGGAGGAGACCATGGGGTGAGGCCGGGGCGGAGAGACCCAGGAGAGCCAGGTCACTCGGTCGGGCCAGCCAGCATCCCTTCCACGGACAGTGCCGCAGGGACCCAGCTACCTGGTCCGGGCCCCTCCGCAGACCCGCCGCCAGAGGGTGCTGCGCATGCCCAGGGCGGGGCGCGAGCCTGCGCAAGGGCGTAGGGCGCCTGCCAGGCTCAGAGCCTGCACCCGGGGGTGGGGCACCGAGTGGGGGTCACCCGCACCCTGCTCTTTTCTTCCTGCTCCGTCGTCGGGGTCTCAGTTTGAGAGTCTCTTCTCGCCTCCAGATCTGTCCGCCTCTCGGCTGTCCAAAGCCAAGGAGGTCGGGGCTGACTTCGTCCTCCAGATCTCCCAGGAGGGCCCCCAGGAGATCGCCAGCAAGGTGGAAGGGCTGCTGGGGTGCAAGCCGGAAGTCACCATCGAGTGCACCGGGGCGGAGAGCGCCATCCAGGCGGGCATCTACGTGAGTGCCGGCGGGGCAGGGTCGGGCGCCGCGTGCGCTCGGGATCCTTCCGTCCTGGGGGAGACGCGGGCACCCCACTGAGTCACCGGGCTGAGGCGTCAGCCCGATTGCCGAGCCCGCCTGGACGCTCGGGGCGCGGCGCCTCTGCCATCTCCCCTGCCACGGTAGACGCAGCATCAGCCAGAGGAACGGGAACCGGCCTGCGGGGCTGGGAAACCCCTGCGGCCTGCACCGAGGAAAGCGTGATGCAGGGCGACGGCCGCTAGCGCAGTCAGGCGGGTGAGGCGGCTTTTCGGGCCGCCCTTGGGCGCTGCTGTGCCCTCTCCCTGAACGAGGAACAGATAAGCCGCTGGCCGCTGATGCGAGGGTGACGGGCCGGGCGGGGCAGGGAGTGGCCTCGCCAGATCCAAGTACGAGGAAAAGGATGACTGCGGGGCCACGCCTGCAGCCCAGGTCCTCGCGGGGAGCCCCGGCCGCCGGGAGCCGTGCCCGCGCAGTCAGTGCCCAGGCAGGCGGCTCCCGCCCTCCCGAGTCACAGTGGCTTGCGCAGAGGGCCGCCAGGCGGCGTGTGGGGGTCCCTCCCGTGGGGCGGGCGCGGGCCGGCTTGGCACGGCCGCTGGCGCTGGGGGCCGAGGTGGAGGGAGGGAGGAGCGGGAGGCCCGCGCTATCGGCTGCTGTGCCCCTGCTCGCTGTCCGGAGCTTCTTGTGGTCACTCCCGCGGCGGCCGTCTCTGCCCTCTTCCAGTGGGGACCGCGACGTTTGCCCGTGGCCTTGTGCTGGTTTGCAGGTCCGCCTGCGCTTCAGTAAAGCGGCCGGCCACGCAGCCCCTGAGCGCCACACACGGGGCCGCCTGAGAGGGAAGCGGCCCGCTCGCCACGTGGGGCGCATCCTGCCCCCTGGAGCCCAGCTCCACGGCTCGCTCCCAGTCCCGCCTGTCTCTCCCGGGGCACGAGCTGGGCCACGTGCTTTCCTCCAGCCGGCTGTTCTGCACGGCTGTTCTCCCCGCGGTGCCGTCCCTTCTGCCGCTGCAGCTCAGCGAGCGTGCACTGTGCAGCTTCCCCCTCTCACAGCAGTGACACAGCCCCCGCCCCCAGGGCAGGCCCTGGTACCCACCTGCAGTCACCTGGAAATGCTGCCTCCTGTGGCCACTCCCAAGCTTCAAGTTGCTGGAGCCGCTAACTCCATGCTCTTAGCAGAGCACTGGTTTTCCAGATAAATATTCAAAGAAGATGCTTTCATTGTGGAGGATGCTATTGAGATGAACTCCTGGAACAAAAATGAAACCATTTTTAAACCACAGAGTTCCAAAAGCGCAGCCAGGCATGGTAGTGCACTGGAGAGGCTGAGGCAGTAGGATCTCTGTTAGTTAGAGGTCAGCCTGGACCACATAGTGAGTTCAAGGCCAGCCTAAACTACACAGTGAGACCTTGTCTCAATTAAAAAGAAAAAGAACTCCCAAAGTCCCTTTGTAGAGTGCTCAGAAAGGTGGGCTTGGAGGGTCTGACCAAAGTCCAGTCTTGCGGGGTGCTTGGAGAGGGAGCCCGTGCCGGGACACGCAAGGGGCTCACACCAATGCCTGAACTGGGCGCGCTGGGAAGATGCGCCCTGTGCCTGGTTCTGCATCGGCAAACGCTCTGTGGGAAACCCTGTGAAGAGCCTGCGGCCCACTTGGCTCCCTGTTGAGTTGTTCAGTGTGTTAACGAGCTCAGCGGCGCGGCCGGAATCGCGTTCTGGGGGATTTTTGGACCCTCGCCCAAGGCGATGAGAAGCCGTCTGCGGCCACCGTGTGCTGTGCCTGGGAGGAGAGGGTGCCGCGCTTTCTCCTCTCCTGAGTGCTCTCCTCTTCCCCTCAGGCCACCCGCTCTGGGGGGACCCTGGTTCTGGTGGGCCTGGGTGCCGAGATGATCAACGTGCCCCTGGTGCACGCCGCCGTCCGGGAGGTGGACATCAAGGGCGTGTTCCGGTACTGCAACACGTGAGTGTGCCGGGCGAGCGGGGTGGCCAGGCGCCAGCAGGCCCGGCGGGCCCCACGTGGCCTCCGCGACCCGCGTCTGCCTGTTTGTTCACGGGGGCACTCCCTGGCCACAGTGACAGCCACGTGACGTGATAGGGGCCCGAGACAGAACATGCTCTTCTCGGGCAGAGGGAGTGGCAGCAGGGAGGGGGTTCTGCAGCATGCCGTCCGGGTCCCGCCGCTCAGCACCGGGCCCGGCAGTGAGCAGACCTCGTCCTCTCCCTTTAGAGGGGAGAAGGAGAGAAAGGGGGACAAAAGCGGACATCGAGTCCCGTCCCCTCCGTTCCCGAGCCCAAGCCCATCCCGGGGAACAAGACGGTCTTAACTCACCGCGTCAGAGGTGCCGCTCCATGCTGTGCCGCTGGGCCTCCCTGTCCAGATGTCCTCTGAGAGCCTGTAACTCCTGCCCTTAGCACAGACCACGGGAGGCATCCCGGCTGTCCCCAGGGCCGCCCGCCTTCCCCAGGGGCCTCCGCGGCTCACCCCGTGCTCTGACGCCAAAGCAACTCTAGGCTTCATGGGAGACGCGGGGAAAGGAGGGACGGGAGAGGCAGGCCGCGGAAGCGGTCACTGCCAGGTGTGATGGGAGTACGTGGTGCGTGTTTAACTGTAAACACGCCTTTCATCACAACCAGAGACACGTGCCGTGAGTCCCCTCCAGAGTCCTCCCCCCGCCTCAAGTGCGCTCATCCCCCGTTCTTGCCACTTTCCGGAGCAGCTCTGCAGCCTGTAGTTGCACTGTTTCACGTGCCCCAGTGTCCTGTATAGGTTTAAAATGCTTCCTGAGCTGGGTGTGGTAGCGCACACCTGTAATCCCAGCACTGGGGAGGCTGAGGCAGGAGGGTTGCCACAAGTTCATGGCCAGCCTGGGCTATATCATTAGTTCAGGGGCAGCCTGAACTATGCAAGACCCTGTCTCACAAAACAGAAAAACAACATCAAAGAAAGCTTCCCTTTCATGGTCATTTTGACTTTGGGGAGGACCTGGATGTTGCATGGGAGCAGATGCCCTGAATATGGGCCGGGGATGTAGCCCAGCAGGACAAATGCCTGCCTGGCAAGCACAAGGTCCTGAGTTCAATTCCGGGTGCAAACAAACAAACAAAAAAACAACAGATGCCCTGAGTAACAGAGGGGGGCTGTGAGCTGCCTTTCCATTGGATGGGGCTCAGCAGCCGCAGTCACTGTGTGTCTGATCACATCCCATAAAGACACTGAGGAAACAGGACTTCCAGGAACTTCCGAATGGAGCGTGCTCAGAGTGACGGGAGTGCTTGGAGGCCGGTTCATGTGTGTGTTTTACCGAAACAATTTTTAAAAATATGGCCATCACTGTATGTTTTGGTCACACCTCCTGTGTCTGCAGATCGCAGGCCATTGGATCGGTCAGTAAAATGTCCTCTTGCAGAAGCGCAGTGCTGGGAACAGGCGTGGCCCTGCTGCTTCTGAGCTGGGCCTGGCTCCGTGCTGAGGCCTAAATGCGATGCTTGTGGTCTTTTGCAGGTGGCCCATGGCCATTTCCATGCTTGCAGCCAAGGCCGTGAACGTAAAGCCCTTAGTCACCCATCGGTTTCCTCTGGAGAAAGCTCTGGAGGCCTTCGAAACATCCAAAAAGGGGGTGGGGGTGAAGGTCATGCTCAAGTGTGACCCCAACGACCAGAACCCCTGAGGCGACCTGGGCCGTCACCCCCCCCCCGGCCTCTCTGCGTCGCGGGGCCCAGCGGTCGGCCAATCTGTGCTCGGAGCCGTCAGGATGATAATGTAGGGCTGGGCAGTGGTTCAGGCCGGGTGCTTGCCTAGCACGCATGAAGCTCAGGGGTTAATCCCCAGTCCTACCAAAAAATAAAAAAAAAATGAAAAATGAGAAAAAATGTAAATCATGAATGTAATTCATTGCCAACAGAGAGCCTTCCAGAGGGGTAGGTGTGCCTTAACGTCACAAGCAGAGGCAGTTCTGGGGGGACTGGGCACCAGCACTACCCCGCTCTTGAGGAGCCAAGGTGGCTGTGGGGTGCCGGGTCCCCTCTTCAGATCCGGCCCTCAGGTTCCTGGCTCCGCTGTGATGGGCTGAGTACTGCAGAAAGATCATCGCGGAGTCCCACCTGGCCTTGGTCGGTCACTGGCAGGGTGTGGGCGGCGGTGGTCAGCAGTCGTCGTCACAGTACGGGGCTCTGGAGGAGGAGAAGAAAGAGGGGACCAACTTCCTGGGCCCAGGATGACGTCGAGGTCAATCAAGGATTAAAACCTAGCGAGCCTGCAGTGCTGTGGTGCAGAAAGAGCTAGGGCCCTTCTCAGACAGCTTGGAGACAGGCTCTTCCACCCCTCGGAGCCCCTCCCAGCATCCCAGCCCCACCAGGGTCCCTGTTGCTAGGCAACCGGAGGACTTCCGCCTGCGGGCAGTGGCTGGCAGACCTGAGCGTTTTGGCTCTGCCCGCCCCACGGTCCGAATCCCCACACGGCTCACTCAGGGACCATTGTCAGGCAGTTCAGCCGCGTCCTGTCATTGGAGACAGTAAACTCTCCCCTCCTCTTAGTCACAGGGCACTGTGTACCTATAATCTCCACCACTGGGCCGCACCCCCAGCTAAGCCTATAATCTCATCAACTCAGGAGACTGAGGCAGGCTGTTTGCAAGTTCAAGGGCAAGCTGGGCACATTTAGTAACACTCTATCCCAGAATAAAAAGGACAGGAATCTAGCTGAGTTGTACAAGGTCCTGGGGTGTTTTGTTTTGTTTGTTTGTGTTCGAGGTAGGGTCTCTTTATGTAATCGCATGCACTGTGTAACCCAGGCTGGCCTTGAACTTGTGCTGATCCTCCTGCCTCAGCCTCAGGAGTACTGAGATTATAGGCGCACTGACCACACCCACCTGTGTCCCAGGTTCTTGCAAAGAGCAAAAGAAAAGGCTCTTGGTACTTTGCTGTCTGCAGGAAAAGACATCTCTGACCGTGTCTTCTACTCATGACGAGGTTTCTCTGTGTAAGACTGGGATCCAGATCATAATGTACGCTTGGCGATTCAGAGATGCTTAATGGAGAGTGAGGGTACAGCGGCTGTCAGCCTCTCGCTGGAGCTGCGGGTGGGGGTGTGTGGGAAGGGATGTGGGTTTTCTTGTACCCTCTGCAGGCCTAGCCGGTGCACAGAACTCCTCCACCTCCAGCTGCCCCGGTCACGAATCCCATCAAATCTGCCTGTCTAAGAAGCGGTGCCCTCAGCCTGCTGCGTTCTCAGAGGAAAGAATCCCAGGACTTCTGCTGGGGACTCCCGCGCTGTGGGAGCCAGAATCGCACTGACTGCTGGAAGTACTGTTTGTGTCCACTGTAACCCCCACAGCAAGCCAGTTACCTGGCAGTTACTTTGCAGATGATGAAGCAGGGAAATAAAGTGGTTCTGCCAAGGCCCTGGCTGCGTTTCCGCTCTCACCCGGTGAGGAGAGGAGCCCTGAGGCTTTGGTCCACGCGGCCCAGCCCCTTCTCCCTTCTCTCGATCCTGCTTAGTTGGGGCCACACTTGCCACCTGACTCTCTCAGAACTCTCCTACCAGGCGTGATGGTGCTGTAATCCCAGTACTCTGGGAGGCTGAGGCAGGAGGATTGCAAGTTGCAGCCCAGCCTGAGCGACTTAATGAGACCCAGTCTCAAAGTTTCTTTAAAGGTGGAGATGTATTTCAGCGCATAGTTCCTGGGTTCAACCCCCAGTACCAAACAAAAAAGAAAGAAAAAGAAAAAACACCTTCCTTCCAGCTCGGTGGTACCCAGGGCTGTTTTAAGTGGAATGACACAGGCTGCCTTCTAGTTAGAAGCCGCCTGAGAGAAACACTCTGGTGAGGGGTGGGTTTCATGGTGTGACGCCTACGGGAAGCTGCTGTCCTGCCTGGCGGGGTGGAAGCAGGCCCAGCTTTGAGCGTGCGGGAGGGACAGTGGGTGACGAAGGGCCACCGGGACCGAGATGCCACTTTCTTCATAGCTGGGCTGGGACCGGCTCCTCCGAGCCGGAGTCCTGGTGCCACCAGTTCCCTGCTCCGATGCCGTGCAGCTGTGAAGGAGCTGCCGATCGGAAGCTGGGGGGCTCCTTCCCCTTCCAACCCTGTCCCCCCAAGTCCCCAGCTGCTGCTCCCCACGGATCACAGGGCAGAGAGGGGGCGAGGAGAGGCTACGCAGGGTGGAGAAGACCCGCTGCTCCGGGCGGCACAGTGGGGCGGTTGGTTTGGCGGCGGAGCCACTTTGGGGGCTCCTGTGTACCCGGCCCGATGCTCGCCCCCAGCCCTCCTCCGATTGGAAGGGGCCGCGAGAGCCGCAGGAGCTCACGCCTCGCCACCACCCGCAGCGTGCTCAATCAGTGCTGACTGACTGGCGCAGTGAATCAGCCCCGGAGCCGCGCATGTGGACTTCCCGCCAGCGCCCCGGCCCGGAGGCCTCGTGGCTTGTGTGTGCTCTGTCACCAGCGTCTGGCTCCAGTTAGCGTTCAGTCAACACGGGGGACCCCACCCCGGCGGCACTCCCAGGCGGGGTGCGGTGGGTGCTGGCGGAGAGCCCGGGGAGGGGCCCTGCCGCCACCTCGGGGGCGGCACAGACCCCCAAGCGGAAGGGGCGCGCGGCTCCCGCGGGCCACCTTGGTCCCTGGCGATGCCCCCGAGGTCCTTCCGGGCTCGGCCCTGCTCCTCCGGCCGTCTCCCCCGGGGGCGCGGCCTCTTCCCTCCCGGGCTCTGCTCCGCACGGAGACCGGTGGGCTTTGGCGGGGCGGGAAGCCGGGAGGGAGCCGGTGGGGAGATGGGCGGGACGGGTCCGGGAGCCGCCTCTGCCCTTGCTGTCGGTCGAGCTCAGGGTACAGAGGCCGCAGACGCGCAGCCGGACCCGATAGGGCTGGGCTGGGCTGCAGACGCGAAGGCCTGCTCGGGGCCGCGTCCCAGGCGGCAGGAAAGGCCCCAGCACCCTTCCGTCCCTGCTACACCCGGTCTGCATGGGCTCGGGGAGGAGCAGGATGCAGCCGCCCTCAGACAGCGGTACTCCGCTCTGCCGCCACCGTTGCCATGGTAACGCTGCCCAGCGGCACGCAGCCTCTGCCCCTCATTTCACCTCCTGCCCCCTTGAATCCTGGCTGAGTGAGACACCGAGCTCCCCGCGTGGGGCGCAGGTGCTGAGAGAGCTTCCCCTGCTCGGGAGCGGGTGGGGGCAGGCCGGGGAGCAACCTTTGTCCCCTGGGTCTGGGACCCATCCGGCCTCTGGGAGGCCGCACGTTCTAGAGGATTTGATGCAAGACTTCTCGGCTTCAGTCTGATCCTGCACCAGCCACTGCCCCATCCCTGCGTCCCCTCCCCTTTCACCGAAGGGCCACGCTAGGCCGTCTGCAGGGCTGGCCCCGACGGTGAGGACCTGGACGTGTCCGTGTAGGAAAGGTCGGGGTGCCCGTGAGAGGCCAGCATCCCGGGTCCCCTGTTCTGCAGCCCGGGGGGCCTGCGCAGCTCAGAGACAGCTGCAGAGACGGATCAGGCCCCCTCTGACAGCGGCCTGGGCACCGACTGAGTCCTTGCCTGCTCTGAACAGGGCAGCTTCCCGCCTGGGGTGTGAGGCCGGCCTCAGTCCATGGGGGGCGCTGCAGAGAGAAGGTGGGGAGCCCTGCCCCGCCCAGCACTGCTGGAGCATGGTGGGGTGCTGCTCCCTCAGGGCTGCACCTGGCTTCCGGTGGGAGTGCTGACACCCCACAGGGTCTACCCTGACCCTCTCCTGCGGGCATCCCAAGAGCCTCTGCGAGTCCCCGCGAGAGTCCCCGCGAGACAGTGCAGTCCCTTATCACACACTGTAAGAGAATAACCAGAGGCAGGTACGGAAGGAGGCTGAGCTCTACCATTTCCCAAGGGTGTGGAGACACAGGTGTCCCCTGGCATCTCTGTGAAACACGAACGTGACCCACAATACAGTGGGCATGTGCTGTACCTCCTCTTTTCATGTTTGCCTATAAGACCGTAAAAACAATCATGAGTATTAAATAATTCCTACTTTTTGTTGTGTTTTTGAGACAGGGTCTCACCATGGAGTACAGGCTGGCCTTGAGGTGACAGTGACCCTCCTGCCTCAGCCTCCCAACTGCTGAGATTATAGGGGTGCACCACCACACCCAGTTGTTCAGATCTCAATTTTAGCAAAAGAAGTGTAAAAAGATAACTTTTTTTTTTATAACTGGGGAAAATTAGCCAGGCGTGGTGGCGCACACCTGTAATTCCAGCACTAGGGAGGCTGAGGCAGGAGGATCATTGCAAATTTGAGACCGGCCTGGGCTACAAAAGGAGCTCAAGGCCAGCCTGAACTGCATAGCGAGACCCTGTCTCAAAAAGATAAAGAAAAGGGGGAAAAGTGATTGGTTATTAGATGATATGAAGGAATTATTAAAAAAAAATAAACAAACACCTTGCATGTGGTTAATATGTTAATAATATGATATGTTAATATACCTCCTTTAATCTATGATAGTTCCTCTCAGTTTTGGTTTAAATGCCATTATTACATTGAAGAAACTGTGTCCTTTGTCCTAGTCTATATACTACTCTGTAAAAATGCCTGCTTTAATTTATACATTGCTAAGTTTCTATGTCCACTATTACCATCATTTTATTTTATTTTATTTTTTTGTCTTTTTGAGACAGGGCCTCAATATGCAGTTCAAACTGGGCTTGAACTCACTTTGTAGCCCAAGCTGGTCTCGAACTCACAACGATCCTCCTGCCTCAGCCTCCTGAGTGTATTACCATAATTTTAAATCACACCCTCATTTGAGATCACCATATCCCACTGTATGGATGCACGATTGGAGGGCAAATCACTCTATCTGGGGCATTTGGATAGCTTGCAGGGTTTTGCTCTTAGGATAAAGCTGTGAAGACACTCCTTGTCTGTGCATCTTTTGTGCTCTGGACTTATTTCCTGAAGTCATGTTTGGGAATGAAACTAGCCGAAGAGTACACACGTTTTATTGATTTGTTTACCTTTGGCGGGGCCGGGGCATGAACCCAGGGCCTCAGGCATGCTAGGCAAGCACTCCGCGCCGAGCCACGCCCCCACCTGGGAGGACTCACGGTCTAAGTGTGACCTGGCCAGACCAGGGCACAAGGCATGGCCATGGAGACCGTGTAAACCCTCCAGGGGTGCCCCACGCTGTGGAGAGCAGAGGACTCAGGTTGGGGGGATGAGGCTGCCAAGGACATGGCTAAGAAGCCACCAAGCTCCGCCTCCACGCCAGGCTGCGGCGTGGGCTTCGCCGTGCAACCCTTGGACGGCTTTCTCTGTCTATGGGCTCCGCCTCCTAGGGGGTGATCTTGGTGTTCCCAAAGAGCCCCTAACAGAGCTGGCGTAGAGCTGCAGGTAGTGTGGCCTGGCTACTGTGGAGCCGCTGTCCATGAACTTCGACTGGAAAATTCCTCCCCAGCCCACCTCGCAGCCGCGCAAATCCAGAGAGAGTGCGTACCACTCACTGAACTCTAATAAAACTGAATGCTTCGTTGTTTCCCTTGTCACTGGGACAAAACGCCCTGCTTATGGAAGGAGAGGCTTCTTTTGGCTCACGTTTCAGCCCATAGGTACCTGGCTCCAGGCATCTGCACCTCGCAGACGAGAACTGCTCTCGGCAGGGCAGGCGGGCAGGCAGCAGCGTGAGCAGGGAGGAGCCAGGGAGGGACAGGAAGAGCCCCCGCCATGCACGCACCCTCCAAGCCTGTCCGGGATCACCCCGGGCTTTAGGGGGACATCTAGACTTACACCGCTGGGAATCAGAAGTGAGGGTGGACCGTGTAGTGTTCCCTTTCAACTCTGACCTCTCCCTGAGGCGGAAACCCATGACTAAGATGATTTACATCAGGTGTTAAGATGCACAGTGGATTCTCAGAGTTCCAGAGGCGTGGCACTTAGCAGGACCCTTGGGAGCTTTATCTTCCGAGCGATTCTGTCTCGCAGGTTTCCACCGTCTGCTTTCGGTAACACTGAAACGCCGTCACTCCCTCACGTCACGCACATGGGGTGGGACGGGGTCACCAGCTTCGAGTAACTATTCAAGGACTGATGATTCTGAAGAACTTCTTGGGAAAATTGTTATCAACAAGCAACGGGTCAACAAATGACCTGACAGAGAGTGAATGAGGAAGGAGGGCGATCAGGAACTCGCAGTCCAGGGCAGAGTGAAGAAGTGACTCAGCGGAGGCCTCCGGAGGCTGGGGCTGCGGGTACAGGGAAGCGGCCAGGCCTCCCCCAGCACACGGACAGACAGGTTCCAGCCAGCGCTCCCCGGCCAGCCTCCGCGTGGCTTCCCACTGCCACATACCAAACGTCCACACCTTGCTGCACACCCTAAGCAAACCGGGGCCCAGGAAAGGCCTGGCTCTGGCCAGAATGGGGCTCCAGAGTGACGCTTCC